CGCCTGCCAGTGGGAGTGTTTTAAACACTGGCCATGACTTATAGATGAGACTACTGATGAGTTTTATTATGCAGGAATGGTTTATCATTGAAAGTTCTGTTACTTTTACATGGTTTATCTGGCATGCTTAAAAGTTTTACCCAAGGGCTATCCATATTTACTTACTGAGTTATCTCATAGTTTTCCTTGTCCACCATTTCAGGAAACGAAACTGAGGACGGGGAAATCGAGGGGAGTGACGAATTAGAAGGCTAGCCATTCACTTGGGGTATAAGTTTTAGATTTTATCATCCTTTTGTAAGGTTGATTTTATTCTTGAGATTTTATGAATTGGATAAGTTCCGAGCCTTGTGCATTTGTGGGACCCGTCTCACGAGTGCACGGCGTCTGTCGCGTCTCGGATTTGGGTTCTGGGGCGTGACATATAATATGCATTTTCGTTAATCATATTATATAATTGAAGTAGAAACCCAATTGCATATTTGGGTAAGTTGTTTTCAACTTTAATAATATGTAGATGTCAAATTATTGTAGGGTAATTGAAGTAGAATTTGAGAACAATTAGTAAGAAATTTGATATAATTAAAGTAATATTAAGCAATTATACATATTCCACTTACCAAGAATTTGAAAGTGTATTAATTTAATTTAGCGGTTTAGGTAAAACCGCTAATCGCTACCCCAAAACCGCTATACCAAATGGGGCCTTAATCGGGTTTCAATTTTCTAAATGAATTTTTTTAAGATGACTATTGGATTTTGAATTTTAAAGAGATTTTAAAAAGCCATTTGGTATTTATTTAGAATTTATTGAAGATTTTAATAATTTTTGTAATATAATAAAAAATAATTGAATTTGAATTTGAACTATTATATAATTAAAATTTTTGAACTAATTTGGAATTGAAGTTGCCAAATCAATTGAATTGCCGTATAGGAAGGGCAGTTAATGGGTTCTTTCTTTTTTCTTTTTTCTTTTTTTGTTAAATTAATTTGTGGAATCAAATTGAGATCTTGATAATTAAAATTAAAAATTATAATTATTTATTGATGATTCTAAAGGACCAATTGGGTATTCAATTATTTGATATTTTAGAAGGATTTAAAAAGGGTTAAATGAGTATTTATTCGAGATTGATTGAAGAGTTTTAACAATTTTTAAAATATAGTAAGATAGTAAAATATAGTCGAGTTTAGATTTTAAAAAATTCGTTGAATATTTATTTAAGATTCTTAAAAGCTTGATGGGTATTTATTTAGTATTTATTAAAGATTTTAAAAGATTTATTAGATGTTTATTCGATTTTAATAGATTTTATAAAATAATAAAATATAATTGAATTTGGACTTAGAAAGCCATTGGGTATTTATTTATTTGGTATTTAACCATTGAGTACTTATTTGGCATTTTCTGGAGATTTTAAAAGATAGTATTTATTTAAGATTTATTGATGATTTTAATAATTATTATAATATAGTAAAATATATAACTCAGTTTGGATTTTAAAAAGTCATGGGTTATTTATTTAGTATTTATTTAAGATTTCGAAAACTCCATTAACTATTTATTTAATATTTATTAAAAATTTTAAAAAATTCATTAGGTATTTATTTAAGATTTGTTGAAGATTTTAATATATTTTTATTCTTTTAAGCAGAAAAAAGGGGAGGAAGCCTAACGAGTATAATTAAATATGCGTTCACATAAGCTACATAAAACTTATGTGCCCAATATAGTAAGATCATAAGATGATTAAAATTTTTACTTTATGATACTTGTTCTCTAAAATTAAAATTATATTAATATTAAAAATGTGTATAAAAAGATTATTATTAAAAATATAATTGATTTTATATTAAATTATAATTGAAGTAGTTAATATCAGAATGAAGTAAAATTATATTAAAAGAAAAGATTATTGTTGAAAATATAATTGAATTTGAATTTTAAAAAGCTTATTGAAAATTTATTTGGTATTTGTTAAAAATTTTAAAAGACTCACTGAGTGAGTATTTATTGAAGATTTATTAAGAATTTTAATAAAAGTATTGAATACTTATTTAAAATTTATTAAAAATTTTAACAATCTATCTATATATATATATAAAATGCTACCCTATGCATTAAATAGGGTAGCATTTTATATATATTTAATATATATTTAATATATAATAATATATATTTATTATATATTTATTATTATATAATAATAATATACGGTTACAATTTTTTTTAACCTTTTCGTTTTTTTTTTCTTTATGTATAATACTCTTTCATCTTCCTACTCACCTATATATAAATCTTCACTTTTCTCTACACCAATATATTATATTCTTTTCTTTATCTCTTCAATTTCATGTTATTAATATGGTGAGTTCCAATTTTATCCTTTCATATTCTTTATCTTTTAGTTCTTATCTTTAT